TAACAAGCAGTTTTGCAGTTGAGATTAGCCATAAAATGTTCTGTAAACAAGAAAATGTATTCTCTGAATTTTGTGAAGGAATGTCATTGATCTGAAGAATTAAAAAAATGTTTTATTACGAATATTTTCTTATTTATGCATCTAACTGAATGCTTATTCTTGCTTTTATTTCCGAAACGCCGCATTTGTATGCTCAGCTCATGTGCTTTTGCCATCATCGTGGCGGACGGCGCAGCGTTCAATTTTTGTTGCGCGTTGGACCCACAGACGAGAGATCTACTCTATGGTTGGACCTCCTTGACATTGGTGTGTGGGGCCTTGGTGCAACATTGGAATGGGATATGGGAATTGCGCAGTGAAATAGGTGCAATATTAAAAAATAACAAAAACAATCGTTTCTAAAAAAAAGGGGCTCTTAATTTTTTTCTTTAAACTTTTGGTAGGTATACTGCTAAACGTATTCTGTAAGATGACATAAATACCATATTGCTCTATTTTTCCCCAAAGATGTACAAAAATGTAAATTTTTTGACTTGTTCTCCACATCATTAATATTTACATTAGCGGAAAATTGTACACAAAATTGCATTTATGAGTAAACGTGCTCTAAATTATGCCTCATAAAGTTTCTTGAAAACTCAAAACTTTTCGCAAAAACGAGCTCTAAATCCGAAAGAAGTGAAAATTATGTAATCGTGCACCGGAAAACGGCGAATTTTCGGTAGAAAAACTCTTATTGCCGGACCCTGCTAACAAAAATGTGGATAAACCCTGTTACTAAATAAGTTCAAAAATCCTCTAACACGTGCTGTAGCCAGAATTCATTTTTGTGGATTCTTGGTACCGAAAAATTATTGAAGGCAAAACGTTTACCCGTCCGTCCGTGGCCAACGCTAGCGTCTAAACCGTTCAGTCGATTTTCGTCAAATTTGATATTCGGAGATCGATCTGGATGAACTCGAGACTTTGAGAGCTTCAAATGAACCTTTTTGATTTTTGAGCGTACTGTACATGAAGTCTCAAAACATTTTCAAAATAGTAACAAATGTTTAATTATATTTTGTCCTTAGATAGCACAAAGGATGCCTAAGAGAATGGTGCAGGTAGTATTTCGCTGAAATTCCAGTTTATTTTGAAAAGTGCAAGTTTTGGGGGCCGTCTTTCTAATAAATCGAAGCTATGCATATTTAATGAAATCTGTTCCGTATAGACGGACTTTCAAATAAATTAATGTTCAATTTTTTCTAAAAAAGAAAAATGAATAGTTTTGTGTAATTTTGCGTGAAATTGAGGCAACTTTTACAAAAATTCTTCCAAATGTTTTATTAAAATGTTCTCCTCCTATGTAATAAAGGACGGTAAAAAATGTGCCACTATTCCCCTTTTCCGCCATCTCTCCGTTCTTTCGAAAATTGCTAGAAGTTAACATTTCAAAACTACAAAATTAGAGATAGAGCTCTGTGCCTCAAAATCTGTTGTAAAAATTAGCTCTTTAAAAAAGTTGCTTTCGCGTAATTTGGACTTGAAATTTGTGCAATTTCTAAAACAAATCTCAAAAACTGCTCCAAACTTGTTCACGGATAGAAAAGGAATGCATAAAAGAATGACATGTGTCTCATTTTCGTTGAGCCCTCTGCATTTTTTAGAATTGCAAATTAAAAAAATAACGCTAGAAAGTGTGTGAGGTAGTAGTACTAGTTTAAACTTGAAAGCTACTTAAAACTATCTGAAAAATTCGATGGAATAGGAGAGATTGGCGTACCATCCATGGAGGTTGTGTTCCAGGTGATAGGGAAAGTTCGTAGGGCTCGATTCTCATATCTGTAATTGATTTTGATTAATGAAGATTCTTTCAATTGGTTTTCAGGGCGATTTTTTTTAGTTGGACAAAATTTCTTAACGGTACCTCATTTTACTTGTTGAACCGGGGCCCAGGAATGGCTAGTTTCGCCACTGGTAATATAGTTTGAAGTAAATAAAGAGGTACGTAATGCTGGTGAAATGCAATTTAAAAAAATATTCAGGTGACCAAAACATTCATTTCAGTTATTTCGAGTATAATTATTTTCAACGAAATGTTAATTTATGGATTTTTCTACGGATCATAGAAAATCCCTCATATCAACAACTTAGTGATGGTCACTTACCTTTCGATTCTGCAACGGCGTGCAGGAATAGTTGGCTTCCTAAATAGGAGTCCAAACGGGCCCTTGCACATTGCCTCGAAGAGACACATACCTTTTACTTTTTCATTCAGGAGGAACGGGTAAATGATGCTAGCTAGAAATTTTCTATCTTACGCCTGTTAATCATGAATGAATAGTACCCCGATATAAATTGGTTGACATGATACTGATACACACAGAAGAGGAAAATTGGTGAACTGAAAATAAACCTTCCAATAGTCACCAACAAAACAATGGCAAATTAAGCTTTCCTTCATATCAAAAGAAAATCGCCGTAAATTACCTGGCTCTCTTTCTCAATGTCACGTGGGCAAAAATGGTTGAAGTTCTGGTTGTTGAGTAGCGCGAACTCCTAGAACGAATGTAGTTCATGCTAAGCCCTCACTTCTATACTAAAAGCGCAAAATGAAAATCGACTGAACCTCAACTTCAATTTCTGGATTCTTTTCATACATATATGTATATATAAAGAACATATTCTTAATTTTTATTTTCCGACAAAAACGTAGACAGATTGAATATAATATGTATTTCAGGACTTTAATTTGTTCTTAAATTTAATGTTTTCCTCATTATTACAAACCATCACATTACAGCGTTATTAACCACAGTTTAGCTGATATTTTCTAGAATAAAAAAACTAAAACAATGAGTAAAATGGTCCAGAAACATTTTATTTTCATGACATGATTTTCAGACCACCTTCATGTCAGTTGAAACCACGTTCGACAAATCATTACGAGATCAAATTTCCAACAATACTTCATTGAAATTCATGATTTCCAAAAATAAACATGCATTTGTGTTGGCAAATATCGTTATTGAACTGAATGCACCGCACCCAGAAGAGGACCTGTGGAACAAATACTATTCAAGCTTCCCGCCACACCTCCCCCCCCGCATCGAATTAACACCGGGTTTCCACATGAACATGCCGAGATTCGGTCAATTTTCGCACCATACCGAGAGCGACTCCCCTGCAGAAACCTTGGTACGAAACACCTGACAAGTTTTGAAATATTAAACTCTTTTAATAGTTTTTCCATCTATTTGCTTGAAATTATACCTCGGCTCTAGGCAATTGCATAAGAAAAATGTTGACGTAATTGCTTATCTACTCCTCATATCACGTGCGTTCTCAACGGCACACTCATGACAACAGTTGTAGGGCTAATTACGACCCATTCATTTGCGCCATGAGCGGAGTCCGCTGGTTGCTGCACCTGGGTCTTTCGCTCAATATCCTACCAAGCGGAGTTTTAGTAGCTTATGGAACCACAGTTAGTGGACCTCGTCAATGTAAAAAGAAATCCATACTTATGACAATAACACCGCATAACATTCAATTTGCTGTCGTGCCACGTCAGTACTAGGTGATTTATGAGCTCTTCTCCAACAGGTCCCTTGTGCTTCTTTGGGCGCGCTGAAAAGAAAGTTTATCCAATTCTAATGATAAAATAAGAGCTGGTGAAGTGCGAAACCACGTTCCGACACGAAGTGCATGGGCGTGAACGGCAATGAAATTCGAGCGTATTTCAGAACTAGCAGCACGGGTCTTAAGTCCATATTGAGCACACATTTCTTTGAACTTAAGATAACCAATGACTAAGAACATCGTGACTAAGATCTCATACGTCACGACATCCGCTTTACATGTCATCAGACCTAGACTTGCCAGTGTACACAGCAAATGGACCCATGACGTGACACCAATTTTGGGAAGCAAACATTTGTTAAACTTGAATCAGTAGTTTAGTTACACGTAACTTAACTGCCAGAATGTCAATTCGGGAATTACGCCGCGCCTGCGAGAATCTTGTAGCTTTCCAAGTAACATTATAAAACCACAAGTTTCCTCCGGAGTAGCTCGATTTAACCTTACATGACAATGCATTACTATTTACATTTTTTCACACATTCCGGTTGACTAAATAGCTTCACACTATTTCACAGACAAGTAACGCGGTTGAAGCTTGTATTGAGGTTTTTTAAGCAATTTCGTTATTTGTGATATCGGCTCAATATTTACGTACTACCACCTTAGACAAAATATTTATAAATATATGCTTTTCTTGGAACATAACTTACTCTGAGAACTCATTTGATTTGCTCTTACACACAGGCCGTTAAGAATGGCTTTAAGTTCATTTAATTGCACTAAGGACTCTAACAGTGTTACGAAATGTTTTCTACGAACGTATGCACGGAAAATGTTATTCACATAACATAGAACAAAAAACAAGTTCCGAAAACAAAGCCACAAGCAATAAATGGAATAGAAAATACATTAATTCTTTTCCTTAAATTTTAGTGAACATTTCACAATATTGATTATTCTCCTCCTCCAGACTTATTTCACGTAGTTCTAGTGGAAGAAGTCGAGAGTGAACGACATCCACTTGGCGTCTAGCGCGTACTTTGACCCACAAGCGCCAAAATACCCATTCCCCGACAGCTGCGTCACCAGTTTCAGCGCAAGGGCGGGGAAAGCGAACGTACGCATATCGGGCGGGTCGGAGGAAACGAGAAGTACGGACGTGGTTCCGGGGGACTGGGCGGCAAAAGAGCTTCTGCCTCCCTTGCTGCTCTATTTGCGGCAACTCAAAAGCGCGGAGGAGGCAAGGAGAGCTCCTCCCAGCAAGCGGGCGCGCGGGCGGGCTCTGCTAGCGGCGGCCCTCCCGACCCATCGGGCAAAGAGTTGCCGAGCTGTGGGCTGGCGTTTATTTTGGGACACATCCCCGCTTTTTCCCGGGGGCGCGCTTCCGGTGCTCGCTGATCAATACACCTTGCGATACCGCCGGGGCGCGCTACCCTCGCCGCCAGGGCGCCGGCGCCCAGCCTCTCCGACCTCACATCACAGCTCCCTCTCGCCTCGCTTCACGATGTCCCTGGCCGTAGGGTTCAACGGGTGGGAGTTGCTTCAAAAAATCAGGCTCTCAGGATCGATTTTATAGTTTTATTTACAAACACCACCTCTTTGTAATGTATTAATTTACGAAGTATAAACATCAACTACGATTAGCATTAATTATATATTACACTGATGCATTTCTGAAGGGGGGATTGAATACGAATCGTTTTTAATAAATGTTATGGCAATTTAAAATGCATAAACAAAGTTTGGTCAACAGGTGACAGCTGTACAAATGATTTTGAAGATTTGCCCAAAAGTAAAACTGTTTAAGTGATGGGGAGGAGAGAAAGGATGGGCAAGGTCATGTTTTGCTTCAGGAACAAAGCAGCAGCACCACTCTCCAAAGAAAGTGGCCGCCCTGCCTCACAGGGCTAACTCAGCTGGCTGTTCCTGAACCAGACAACTGAGTTTTAAGCTAAATAATCAAACTCTGCAAATACTTAGGCCTTGGCTTCAAAGGCACATCACAGTGTACAAAATCAAAAATAGAATCACATTTTTTTATAAAGTTCACATCCATTAGCAATTTAAATTTGTAAAGAATTTGTCCAAATAAAGAAAATACTAAAAATTTAGGTATTTCACAATGAGACTGAACAGATGTTTCAACACCATAAAAAAGTGACCTACTCTTCGAGCAGTATTATCCCAATATTGCATAAGCATATAGGACTTGGGAACATACACGGAAAGAATCATTTAACAATGTAGGTGCTAGGAAGTTACGATTTTGATGTTGACACAAGTAATGCAAATATCTACTACAAAGAATGATTACTTTTAGTGGAAAGCAGTAAGTTTTACTGATAAACAGATACAAGTATCTAGGTCTTGTATAAGCATACAGTGTAGCTACCACATCTTAGCAGTCCACCTTGACTAATGCTTGAATGCAGCCAACTGAATACCATGGTCTGCATACAGCAAAAAAGGTACGCTCTCAGTCATGTCACAATGTTGTATCTCACACTTGCAACAGCACGGCAGGAGCAAGGAGAGGACCAGGTTAGGTCCCTACCAGCCCAAAATTTTGAACAGAACAGTTGTGACACGTAGCAACAGGGAAGAGACATGAGCTGACAAGCTGCAAAGCCTCTGCCCCATCCCACTCTTTCCACACACGTACACAAGGTGGGCATACAACACCTAACATAATGCCAACACTTGACGACAAAGGGGCAGGGTGGGTGTCCAAGGTTCCCAGTGCTTGTGTCGTGCTGTGACCAACCAGAGGGAAGTGGTGCGTCCGGCTGTGCCATGTACATGCAACAGATGCATCTGGAAGTGCTTGTATCCCAGCATAAATAATAGGCTGCATTTTGATTTAGGAATTTATTTTGCACAATGACGTTCAATTATTTGGCTGTAAATGGCTTGTTTCAATGCAATAATAAAACACTGTGAGTTTATCTTTTTTTTTACAGTACGGGATTCAGAAATACGACAAATTTCTTGACAATCAAGACAAAAAGTACATACAAATTACAACTGCACTCCTCCAATTGAGTAGTGATCTGCAGGTAAATCTGTCCGGGAAATTAGATTTAGTCCACAACTAGGATGCACTTCAACCTACAGCGAACTGATTGGTGAGCTGGCAGAAAATTCAGGTTTTATAAATATTGATACAATAATAAACTTTTTGGAAAATCAACATTAATAATTCTGCTTTCCATAATACCAATTATGTACTGATTTCCAACGTTCATAACAATAGCCTATTTCTGACCAACCAATAACAATGCCGCTGGTACTGGATTACACTAGGATGCTTTTTCTGATGCTGCTTTTCGCTAGAAACTTACAACTGTTATTAAAAAAGACACTTGCATGCTGAAACTGCTAGCATTTTTTCTTTCTTTCAGAAATAAAAAGATAAGGAAGCCTTAATAGAAAGGTTCAGTTCAAAATTTCATACCGTGAACCAACCTTCTGTATTCAATATGCAGACTCAAAAGTTTGTTTACTCGTGTTTGCATGTGTGTAGATGTGTATGTGAATTTTCCTTATAATTATAATATATATATTATACCGACTTGACCGAGAGAAAGTGAGGCAGAGGAGGGACAAGGAGCTGGGAGAGGAGGGACAACAGAGGGAGAAAGAAACAGCAAGGGACACAGGAAATTTAGGAAAAGGGCAGACAGGACACTGTGGTTTTGATAGAAACACATGGATTGGGGGACTTCGCGCAGGGTAAGGAGAGGGCTGGCACATCAGTTGTCGCCACCCTCTTGTGGCTCGTCTCCATCCCCTTGCGTGTCCGAGGTCCACAACGTCAGGTTATCCCTCAGCAGTTGCATGATGAGGGTGGAGTCTTTGTAGCTGTCCTCATTCAAGGTGTCCAGCTCCGCAATGGCATCATCAAATGCCTAAATAATTGAATCACAAGTTAGTGAAATAATAATACCCACATAAAATGAATATCAGCTAATAAAATCTAATAAGTACATTAAATGTTTATGAAGTAATGTAGTCTAATATTACAATTTACAGTCTAAACCTAAATATTCTAAAGTGAAAATTTACTTATTGTAAAAGGTCTCCCCAGAATTTGCAAAAGCTACAGAGATTTATATCTCCCACTACATTCAATTACAAATCCCTCAACATTGTTCCTGCAGAGAAAGGTCCAGATTCAATTCAAGCATGCACTTAATTAAGTACTCTATAGAGCACTTATGTTAGTTTAGGAAATCACACGCAGACTGGTTGATCAGGCTAAATTCAAGGGGTTGCCAGTTAAGACAGGCATGCCAGCTACACAGTATTACAATTCATGAATTGAAGTTTCCATGTTTATGCCAAGAGAATGCAGCAGCTGCAAGAATTTGAAAGTGAAACAACCCACCCTGGACTTAGGCCAATGGCTGTATGCCAAAAAACCCATCCCCTTAAAGAGCCCAGGTGTGAAGACTTTACAGATACACAAACATGAACACAGCAGTTAATATGTAGGGTGCAAGTTACAATACTGCTTCACACTAAATGCTGTTAGAACTGGACAATGATTTTTCCATGCTCGTGGGTTAACTCCTTTGAGATTTATTTATGCAGAGGGTAGAAAAAAAGGGGCAACTGCTGATTCACACAACGAATCTCAGCATCTTTCTCAGGAAGAAAAGGATTGTAACACTCGTTTTGCTGGCCTACCTGCTTGGCAAGATGGCAAGCTCTTGCTGGTGAATTTATTATTTCATAATAGAATACTGAAAAATTTAGGGCTAGACCCAAGCGGATCGGATGTGTAGGCTGCATTTTCGACTTTGCAATGTCGAAGGCCTCCTGGTAGGCTTTCTGGGAGTCATCAACAACAGCTGGCAAACAAGGCAAAGGCATAAATTACTTCCTTTTCAGAAAAAGTTAATTGCAAGGGTGGATCTCTTTTGGGTACAGCCTACAACTGCTCAGTTGAAGAGGAATAAAACCAGGAACAACCAGTCGCGTGCTGGATCTGCTGCCATTACACCCAACACAACCAACCTGTTTCGCCAACTGACACGCTTTGTCTGGCGAATTGAGGATTTCATAATAGAAGACGGAGAAATTAAGAGCCAGGCCAAGCCTGATGGGATGAGTGGGCTGCATTTTGGCCTTGCTAATTTCAAACGCATCTTGGTAGGCCTTCTGCGAATCATCCACTACGGCTGAAAACGTCAAGTGCACAAGAGATTACAAGGTGGTCATGAGACCGTGGCGAGCACGCAAAGCGCCTTCGCGGCGGCGCGACCTGGGTCTTCCGTCGCCGACCACTGCGCGTGGTCGGAGACAGCGCACCGCTCGTGCCGCCGCTGTATTTGCTGGAGACGGCCGCAGCGCGCGTGACGTCAGCCACGCAAGGCGAGAGAGATAAGCGGCGTAGGCGGCTTGACTCGTCGCCGTCACGCGCGCTACTCCCGTCGACCGGGTTCCAAAGGCAGCGACGAAAATCGGGCCATGCTAAAAGTCGCCTCCCCTATGATACAGCACTCTACCTCCCGCCACCCCCGAAGCACCTGGGGTGTGT